CAGTGCCTGAGCGCAGTAAAAGTTAAGGACTGTGAATAAATACTGTGGATGGGATTCTGGACGCTGCTGGAGCCACGGATATCTGCTGTGGCGTTGTTGTCTGTAAGCTGCAGTTTGGAAAATGCATTCTGGTAGGGTGAGCCGTTGCTGAGAGGTCCTCTGATGTCTGTCAGGGAAACTCCAGCAGCTCATTTCTTAGAAATGGGCTTTTTTCTCCCTCCATAGGCAAAGCCTTCAAGTTGGATAATGTTCCTTGAGAGCTACAGCCCGTTATTAACTTCTTGTAGGTGTGTTTTCAACTTTCTACACCTTGGAATTTAATTGTTCTGTCCTCAGTTTTTCATGAGGCGTGATCTTTGCATAATCCATTGATTATGGAAGATACAAGTGTTTTTATTTGAAAATATTCCTATAAAACTGCAGTTTTTGTGGCACTGTTCTTAGGTTTGTTTAAAATAAGTTGCAGTCATGACAGTGGTACATCAAAGCAGGAGAATTCCAGTCTGCAGCATGCAGTATGGTTTCTAATATATTTGATAACGTGGGGCAGTTGTTAAAAGTTTTGCCTGATTTCTCAAGCGTGCTCATCCAATCCCATTGGAAAGCAAAACCTCACCATTGTTCTCTTGCTGTGCATTGTTGATATTTTTATATGAATTATGAAGCATCCTTTGATATCTGGCATTTTCCCTTATGATCCTCTGTTACTTTTTATGAGTACTTGCCCCCTAACTTCAAAAGCAGTTCATCACCTTCCTGCAGACAGTTATTAATAACTGATTTGGAACTGTCAGGCAAAAAATCCTGGGCCTGTTTTATGGGAGTTTCTCTCCAAAACCACTCAAAAAGTGGCCATAATGTGCACAGACCTCAAACCACCTTCGCTAGCACGTGAAGGAGCTCTCTCATCACACGCTGCTTCTGTTGCTGTCCTAAGTAACCTTGTTCCGTGGATGTACTGACTAAAAGAAAAACCGAACTTAAGAGAGTAATTAAATCTACCCTGTCCTGAACTGTGCTGTTGCAATTGTTTCATCCTCAATTGCCTGGAAATTATGCTAGAGAAAAAGATTTTTTTTTTATTTTTTTTAAATTTTTTTGTATGTAAGCTGTGCTAGAACAGTGTGGTTTTGACCTTGGCATTGGAGAGAGAGTGGGCTGGAGCTGGCCTTGCTGGAGCAGGCGTCCATCCATCCATCCATCCCTCCTTCCCAGCAGCACCAAATCTGCCCCTTCCCTTCTGCTTCCCTTCCCTTCTCTTCAGCGGGGAGGGAGAAAGCTCCTTTTTGTGACAGTTCAAAAGGAAAATAATTGGCCTGGGGATAGTTAATGTGAGTTGCCATTCGTTAACATCAGAGATTCCACTAAAGTACTAATAATTACTGTTAATATCTTTCAGTGGAAACTTTGGGAGTAAGCGAGCACTGGTTGGAGCGGTGTTTAACGGCATGCTGCTGGCATGATAAGAATGCAAATAAGCGTTATTAGCCTAATGATTTTGCTGTCGCCATGGCTGTGCAGCAGTAGTGTTGTGAATATGTCATGCAGTACCCGTGAATCTGGAAAGTGTGTCAAAACACAACTTCAATTAGTTTGCTCTAATTATGGCTCTAGAGAGTTCATAACTATATCACTCCTCATTAAAAGAGATTTTTCTTATATGGATTAATACAGCACATAAAGGGATGTCTGAGCGATCTGGGGCAGAGCCGTGTGGAGGGAGGATGCCCATGGCGTGGCGGGAGGTGCGGTGGGTCTGGGGCAGTGCCAGGGTCTGTCCCCATCCTGTGAGCTCTTGGTGCAGGGGCTGGGAACCTCCCGAGTGGGGCAGGGAGGACCGGGCAGCTGCGCCAGGTCAGCTGGTGGGTGACCCTTTGGTGTCCCTCAGAAGAAGGTTTTATCCCTCGGCATGTGAACCTGGCGGGTGATTCTGGATAGGCTCTCCAGATTAAAAACAAAAACCAAAAAAACCTACCCACAAAAAAACCCAAAAGAAAACACAGAAGCCCTGGTAGGAACCATGCTTGATGGTGAAATTGAGATCTGGTGTGAAGGCTTTGCTCTGGTGAGGGTGGAGGAGCGTCGGTGGGCGGCTCCCGGGGTGTTTGCAGCCTCTGTTCAGTTCCGTCTTTCCCCGCTGCCCGAGCATGTTCTTGCTTTGCAGAACAGGGAAAAGAGTCTTGTGCTCACAGGTGAGCAGTTGGTGAAGGGTTAAAGTAGTAATTGTTTAAATCTTTTAGGCTTTCCTCCCAGTTCTGTGATAATTTGATGAAGAACTTTACCCTAATTAAATATTCAAATTAGGAATAAGTGTCAATATGGCTTCCCATTGCCTGGAATGATGATTAATTGTATTCAAAACTCTAGTGGCCGCTGTAATCTAAACCAAACCGTTGTTCTTGATTATTTCTGCAACACATTTACCATGTTTTTGTTTTAAAATTTAAACTAGTAATTGATTTGCCATATGCCGCAGAGCTGCACATACTTTCACGATATGTGTTTAGGAACTTGGGGACTTTGTAATTGGGATTTTCTTGCTTTTCAATGGCAGCCTCTTTTTTTTTCTTTCTTTTTTTTTCATCTTCTACAATGCAAAATGATTTGGCTTTCACAGTGCATAAGGAAAATGCATTATGCAATCAACTTAGTACGTATAAGTTATATTGATCCTGGCCAAAGTTTGCATTAATTTAAAATAAATTAGACTTTCTTTCCCATTTTTTCCCTACGACGTTGTGGTTTCAGAAAAGGCGAGGGGGAAGAGGAGAGCTGATCTCTCGAGCAGTTACTGCTCTCTCTGCCTTGTGGTCTTACAGCTAAATGCTCTTCTCGGAGAGACCTGGATACATCACCTCCCACTGCCGTGTTTGCGCGCGTGGGCACAGTCCCTCGGGCAGCGAGTGATTCCTTTTAATTACCCGCGTGGAACGTGCGCGTCGCCTCAGCATATGGCCTCGTGAATCCTGGTGCGTGCCCGAGCTGCCAGGCACGTGTGTGGTGACAGGGGACTGGGTTCAGAAAGTCTTTTCCAAGCTCTGCATTCAGAGCTTTGCTGGAAGGCTGCTGCCTGACGGCTCCTTGGCGGTGCTGCCCACCTTGAGCTGCCTGTGGGACTGGCTCCTCTGCCCAGAGGGATGCTCATCCCCTCCCTCGCAGCCTGCGGAGCTCCAGCTGGCTTGGTGGGGGCTGTGGAAAAGGGTCAGCATCTCCTGCAGCAGAAACTGGTAGAAACTGTCAAAATACTCTGCTCAGAAATGGGCTTTTGAAGATCTGCTTTGTTTATTTCCAAAATGATTCCTGCAAGTTTGTTTGGGATGAAGAAGGTGGTCATCTGTACAAGCAAGAGAAATTGAAAAGTCCTTCTGTTAGCTGTTTTGGTGCCTCGGAAAGTATTTTTGGATACTGCTATTAAAAAAACAAATGAAAAGTGTGTAATGCCTGCAGGCAGTGGTCTTCTGTTTTAAAATGTGTTCATGACAAACCTGCCTTTGCTCACGGAGTCTCATATGGGTTGTGTTTTAAACAGCAAACTGTTAGCCAAAGTCAAAAATATTTTCACACCATCTTTTTTTGGTTAGGAATAGCTTTGCAGAGCACAAGCAAACTCAGACTGATGTTTGCTTTTTCTTATTTTATCCGTGCTGTTTGCCATCGGCTGCATCAAGGTCTAAAAATACGTAGTTCTTCACAAAACATGTTCTGTTTTTAAAGGCAGATAATTTCCAGATGATTTGCTCGATAGATAAAACCTGCTAGCTAAGAACGTGGATGTGATGTTCTGACAGGGAATGCACAGGGCCCTTTCCCACAGACGGGGCGTTTGTGAGACGGTCTCTGCTGCCTCTGCCTCCTGCTGCACTGAGCCACTCTGTGAAGAGGGAACATCTGCATTGTGTACGGCAACGGGGTCCAGAAGATGAATGATAACATTTTATAAAAATTCACACAGACCGGGGATCGGCATTAGAAAAATACAGATTTGAATTGAAAAGGAAAAGCCCGAATCTCTCATCAAAGCATAGAAATGACTGTTACTAGCAAGGTCTTTTTTCAGGGTGGACTTCTCAGAGGATCTCCACGGTTGTCTGGGTAGCCGTGCTGGCTGGATGGGGGGCAGTGTGATGGCAGAGCCGTGCCCACTGCGCTGAGCAGCCTCCTCCTGCTCTCCCGTGCCCAGGCAGCTTCCCTGGGCTGTGTCCTGCTGGGCAGGGGTGGCACCGGCCATGTGTGCTCTGCCTGTCGGGTCTGGCGGCCCTGCCAGAGGCTGGTGCTGAGCAGCTCCAGGCTCCAGCAGCTTCGTGTGCAGCCCCCTTCAGCCCTAGGACCTGACAAGAGTGGGACTTGTTGCGTGCCACGTCCCACCCTCCCACGCCACATGTTCCTGGGAAGGTCACCAGCCTTGTCTTCTAGCCTTGCCATGTGCTGGGTTTTCCTTTTGGTAAGCTCCAAGCTGCTGAAAATAGTTTCAACTTCACTTCCATCAGCTCTCTTTTTTCCAGGAAGGTTTAGTGGAGGATATAAAAATATTTCTCTGCTGTGGGATTGCTGGGCAGAGTGTTGTTGGGAGGGAGAGCATCGTGCACTGCTGCAGCTAGAGAGGTGACGAGTGAAATTTGGCTTCCCTTTTCTCAGGGGCTGGTGTAGGGAGCTCAGCGTGTGCATCACTCCCAGCCTCAGGGAGCAGGGAACCTGCAACAGGCTCTGGGTAGGTTTGGAGCAGGCCTGAGTCATCAAGAGAGTTCCAAAGATCTTATTTATGGATGCCCTCAGAGTCTTTTGGCATGGAAGAATCCAAAGCACTTGCTGTCAGCACTGTCTGCCTTGAAGGAGACGCAGTTGAGTCCCACAGGGTGTTCGGGTGTGCTCTCAATGCCTTATGTTGAGACTCATGTTTGCTGCTTAACCTGACAGGGATCATCAGGCAGGAGCGAGCTGGGGGCAGCACTGTCTTCTGCTCTGTAGTAACATCATCTCCGTTCCCCATCTCTCTTCCTTAGGCACATCTCGCTGACACTCCCTGCCAGCTTCCGAGGGAAGGGTCACAGCAGTCGCCTGGACTTGGAGCACCAGCACTCAAACCTGTATGCCATTTCAGGTAAGCTGGCACATGCAGTGGCACATCCTTTCTCCGCTCTTCTGCGTAATCAGAAGTGTAACCAAGCACAGCAGCCCTGCTTGTGCACACAGCCGGCTGTGTGGTACCTGTGAAACGTGCGTCCAGCTTTTCCTCAGAGCCATGTCGAGAGCAGAAGGGGCACAGAGACCCCAGGAAATGCCTGGGCTGGAAATGTTACTGATCACTGGGGAGATCACAGCCCTCGGGGAGGGAAGCTGTTGCCCACAGAGGTGCTAGGTGAGAGCTCTGATGGGAAGCAACACTGACTTTGCTCCTCAACTTTTTCATGATCTTCACAGGTGAGTCATAAGAGACAACATCTCTGCCCGTTCCACAGGAAAATTTAGGATGAGTTTTGTACTCACTGTGCTTCGCTTCACTGAAACATACACATTGAAAACAGATGAGATCTTTACTCTTTGCCATTTCTATATTCTGAATACTGTGACAGCATAGAGTTGTTTCCCCAGTATTAGGGCAAATCTGAAATAAGATGTTGGGATGTGGTGGGGTTCTGTGTTATTTTTAAGAAGCACGTGCTTGCACATGCACGCTTGGTCTCTCTTGCTGCAGCTTTCTCTCTGTTCACTGTTCCAGGCTAGTATACAAGTGCTAGAGCTAGTGATAGTTTCCAGATGTCAATGTGGAAAAAACCTGCCAATGAATAATTAAGCTGTTTTTTTCTTTATAACTAGTGCTAGTCTGCAGGGAAAATGTATTTAAATGCAGTGGTGAGGATCAAGCCCGTTCCTTCACCCCTGCAAGTACAGGTACTTGTTACTGTGCTCCAGGACCACACAGTGGGTTTGGTTTGGAGCTGGAGTCTCTCTGAGCTGTCCCTGACAGCTCTGCTCCTCTGGAGGAGGTCCTGCCTTGAAGTGTTTGCTTTCTTGAAGGAGGAGTGAGCAAAAAATGAACATACTCTGGTTCTGTGGGGCCCAGGAAGGAATGCCTGGGGGATTGAGAGGCAGGGATGCTTTAGAGTTGTACCTCGTGGAGTCCATCACTCCTGGATGTGCCAAGAGCTGTGTGATGTGGAAGCTGTTCACGAGCTGCAGCAGAAGGACTTTTGGTTCTGCAAACTAAAGAAAAATGTTTGGTGCAGCTGTGGCACAACAGTGCATTTCACCTGCCTTTTCTCTCCCGGGGCCAGCTCATATTCTGTGCTTCAGCTGAGTGGTGCTGAGGTGCAAGAGAGTTTTCCTTAGAATTTTTGTTTTAGTAACGTTACACCTGAACAAATATTGTGATAGGTAACGGTAGAATCACACCTAGCCACAGTTTTCTCTTTGTTATGTCATTTTTGCAAGAGGAGAAAAACACTGGCTTTAAACCTGACTCTCTCTAAACCTAGTGAAAGTTTAGGCTGAAGGAGATTTTCAGGGCAGTTTGGAAACCCAGAAAAAGCAGCAGTGGATTCGGTGGGCTGTACAATGATTAGTGCTTGTGCATCATCAGGGAAGAGAAGATGGCGAAAATGTGCCATTCACAGGTTCTTGCCATTAATAGTGAGTGACACTTCCAACATGGGAACATGGCATTAATTCATGTACCATAATCAAAGGGTTATTTAAAAGGTAATCTCTGACTGAAACTGCAGCTTCAGGTTCCTAAATAGATGGAATATAACAATTGCATAATTCTTGTCAGTACTCGTTTTTCTTGTTACTCTCCTGCCCTAATAGATTTAGAAATGTAAGGGAATGCGTGTTCCTGTGTTCACACGAGACAGTCCTGCGTGGAGGACAGAAAGCTGTGAGGAAGCATCCAACGTGCAAACAGCAAGGCAGCAGCTCTGCGTGAATGGTTCTGAGAGTAACTGTGCTCCAGGACTTCCTATAATTCCCCGCCCCGCAACTGCGCGTTCTCCTCCAGACATGTTGTTGTACAAGCTGTTGCTCATACATGTGCTGTAATGGCTCTTGCAGCTGTGAATCGTTTCTGAAGAAAGGGTCTTGTCATATGAAACATCCTGTGCACTGGCAGGGATCTTCATGCGGAACTCCTGACCCCTGCTGCCTTTTCAGCAGCCGTGATGAGGTGCTGTGACAACTCCCTTCGCATGCTTAAAGGTAGATGAGCCCCCCAGACACGCTGTGGGAATGATTCTGAAGTTTCCTGTTAGGTCGGTGTCGTCTGCAGCCGGTCGGTTTCATCCGCGCTGCAATGCGAGTGTCTCGCTGCAGTGCCATGGCAACAGGAAATTTATTAACGCGCTTCCCCCGTCATCCCTAATTGCTCTGCCAGGATGCGGTTTGCTGCGGTGGGGTCCTGGCTGCAGTGTGCTGTGGGGCCCGCGGTGCCGCGGGAGATGTGGGTGCGTGGAAGACACGTGGGCCATGGTGGCGGGTGACCGGTGTGGTGGGCGAGGTGACCAGGGCTCTGGCGGGTGCGGGACTCCTCTCCAGTCCCGCTGTGTGTGGATGAGCCTACAGGCTCCCTCTCTTGGCTCTCAGCACAATGGAAGGTTTCCTGGTGCTGGTGCAGGGAAACAAAGGCTGTTATGAACACTCTCTTACTTCTGATTTTGGTGTCACCTCAGTCTGAATTCTTGCGGGGAGGACAGGATGGGCTCTTTAGGAAGGGGGGGCTGTAAAGGAGGGTGAAATTAAGAGTTGCAGCGTGGTATCGGTTCTCTGTAGACACCCAAGACTTTCTCAGTAGTCAGAAATGAATTTTGGCTGTTGAACCTGCTCTGTGTCTCAAAATACCTTTTGTCAGAAGTTGCCAGATCCCCACCGGAACCATCCTGTTACTCCTTGGGGTATTTAACGTAATTATTATCACAAAGCTGGAGTCGAGGAAAAAATGCTCCTGAAAGTAGTAATTACAGTTTTTAACCAGCCTTTTGTCACTTCCAGTCTTGGCAACAAAGCATTGGGTGACCAGAAAGTTAGGGACACACCTCTTTGCACATTAAACTGATGAATCGGTCTGTGACAGGGTGCGTATGGGAAATTATTGCCCGGACCTCACAACCCCGCGCAGGGAGCCCAGCACACACCACTGCGGCACAGCGCTGCTGTCTGCGCTTACGCTGCCGGCGTCGTCCTCCGTGGCTGGGAGACTCCCTGTTCCCACCCTGTGCCCTGTGCCCAGGACCAAAAGGCAGAATTACTTGGAAGTGGCTCTGCAGAAGGTCTGTGGGTGCTGCTGGGAGCGTGGTGCTGAGGAGCTGACAGGTTTAATATGCATGTTCAAACGGGCAGCTGCTGGAAGAAGAATGCCGTGCTCCAGACAGACCTGTCGACAGGCACTGCTCAGTATTTCACAGCCTAGTCTTTCTTCATGGCCTTCAGCTTAATTAAGATGTTGTTGTGACTACATACTGCCTTCATTTCAGGCTTCAGCATCTTCTGGCTGCATATTGCTTTGGCTTATCAGAGCCACAAGGACAGTGAGGGAGAGAGGGAGCCCTCTCAGGCAGCCACAGATAATAATGTGCAGGGGAAAATTCCTGAATGAAGTGAAAAATTATTTATAATAATGGTACTCAAATAGAAGGGAAATAAGTCACTGTAAGGGTATATAAATTTTTATGATAGTGTATAAACAGCCATAGCTTGCCTTGTCTCCCATCTATCCCTGCGGAGAATGAGGGCAACATCTAGCATAAAGAAAAATATAATAAGAAAACGAAGAAATGAATGGAAAGAGCTGGAGGATTGATCACTCAGAGTATTTGTATATCCTGATGTAAAAGGTGCTGCTGACAGGTGGCCAGGTTTCTTCTGTATAAAACCATGTGTGTGCTGTCAGGGCGGTGTGAGCAGCCTTGTTTCGATTGATGAATTGCCTGCTTTCTTGATTAAACCTTCCGTCACTTAAGAAACAAAAAGCCTGTGTTTGGATGGCAGAGTGGGACATGTCAAAAAAATCTGTCTGCTTTACCTTTGTGCAGATGTTGGGCACAGACTGTAACATGTATTATTAAAATGAATGTGGCATTTACTGTGCATTATTTCTTTCCTGGGAGAAAGGACCTGTAAATTATATGCTAATAATAAGCTTTAACCCTTTCAGAAACCAAGAGATTTAGGAGTGCAAGAACACTCCTGCAGGCCTCGCTAATTGGATGGGCTCTGATACCGCTGTAGCTCTCTGAAGTTAACAGTGTGCTTCAGACCAGTACACCGATGCCTCTTGGGGATCTGGCCTCCGATAAGTTTTCCGCTGTGTAAGTGCCACTGAAATGTAAACCTTTAGAATTACAAAATCTTGCCTTTGAAAGCCCCCTTCAAATTCTGATTGCAGGCGAAAGCTGTCTCCTGCCTGGGGACGGGGCGAGCCAGCCATGCAGGACCTCCTCTGCGGGGGGACAGCGCTGCTGGCAGAGCCTCCCCGCACCAGCTCCGACCTGTGATTTCACTTCCAGAACCGCTTCAGCCTGCCCGGGCGAGACGTACTCAACCGACACGTCTCAGGAAAAGGGTTAGGGGTGGAAAAAAGCCTTAACGCACCTTGCAGAGCATGTGGCAAGATGTTGCGTTGGAAACTGGTGACCGAGTTTGCAAAATGAGATTTTTACGGTCTCAGCTGTGGTTTCTGGGAAATCAGGAGGTGGCCCAAGCTGTGCGTGGGTTTTCTCGGCTGAAGTCAGGTGTGCAAGGCCATTGCTGGTTTTGGTGTGTGACCCTGCGTGCTGCTGACTGGGGTTGTCTTTTTTTTTTACCCTGAATTTTTATCCCAAAACACGTCGCACGCTTTATCTACTGTGACTGTGAACAAGGCTGCAGTACTTGCCATTCACTCGCTTAGGAGCAGCGGGTTTTTGAAGCAGTTATTTGATACAGCAATGCCTTTGTGTGTATTTCGTATCTGAAAAGTGCTGGTTTGTGACTGTCTTTAACCCCGTTATCAACACAGTAACTTGTGTGAAGTATTTTTCCCAGAGAAACTGAACTGAACACCAAGGAAGGGAAACAGCCAGTTGCCAGCTTGGCGTTTGCCAGCTTGGCGTGATGAAGGATGTGTTTGTGGGCGGCTCTTACAGGAAGCCCTGCCTCCATATCTCTAACTTATTGATTTTGGAACTGTGCACCAGTATTTCTTACCTTAATATTTACCTTAAAGAGGTAAATATTTATTTAAATGTTTCTTTATTATTACATGTTATATATAAATATTTCCTTGTTATATTTAAATATTTATTTTCCTTTGGGGATGTTATAGAAAGGTCAGACCAAACTTTATGATCAGACCGGGGAGCAGGGTGTGTTTGTGCGGTGTCCGGTGGGCCGTAGGTAGTGACTTGGGGTGGGCAAGTGGTCAAAGCAGTTGTGATTGTGAAGTGGGACAGTTGGGCTGCAGTTGTAGAGGGAAACATTTGCAAATGTAGGTTCCAGTAGGAGTTGGATCTGCTGGGTCACCCAGGGAGACTTTCCCAGCGCGAGGTCGCTTTGGAGTAGCAGGAGAGTCCAGCCGGGGTCTGTCTGAAGCGTGGCTGTGGGAAGGGAAAGCTCCTGCAGGAAATACAGTGAGATTTGGTGCTGGTTCCACCCGGGTTTATAACGCACATCTCTGGAGGCAGCAGAGAGAGTGGAAACTGATGTTAATGATCTGGAAAAACATCAAAGCCAGTGGATTCCTGAAAAGGAAACCGAGTTGCTTTTCTGTATTGGCTAATGCCGATCTTGGCAGGGGGGACTTGTAATTTGTCTGGGTAGCTTTGTTGGAAGCATTTGTTTCACACGCTGCTCTGATGGCAGCAGTTTGCTTCCGGATTCCTCCTGCCTTTCTGGAGCTCAGTCGATTTATGAGTGGGTGCGAGTTTTGCTCCAAGATGTCCGGGCTGGACGGGTTTGGATGCTTTTCCACTGCTCAGCAGTGGACTCAGGAATGCTTTATTGCATGGACTCTCCTATTTATTATTTTTTTATATATAATTACAAAAGAAAGATATATTTTATATATTTTTTATATATAATTACAAAAGAAAGACCTCTTTCAGAGGTCTTTTTAGATTAAGAAATGGAAGAAAGATTAAAGATTTCATTACATCTCAGTGCCCATATGTCAACTTCTTTCTTGTTACTAAATGTCAGGTTATCTATGCCACAACTGCCGCTTAATTCTCTTCAATGTACATTTTCTTTTAAAAGATACTATATCTTTTATCTGTGTGTAACGAGGATAGACGTTTTAATCAGAGGTTAGTCATTTATTTTTGCAAACTATTGTTTTGCTTCATCATTTTTGCAGATAATTA